ATTTCAAGACAGGGTTTCTCTGTGTAGTTTTAGTGCCTGCCCTGGATCTCACTCTGTAGCCCAGGCTGGCCTCGAACTCATAGAGATCCACCTGGCTCTGCCTCCCGAGTGCTGGGATTAAAGGCGTGCGCCACTGCTGCCGGGTGATAAATCTTTTCTTAAGCCATAAGCCCTGGTACTCAGTGTTGGGCTGGTCAAGGATATTCCTCATCCAGTGGTGGGAGACGATCCTTGGGGGCCCTTTTCACTTCATCTAAAACCATGGCAAGAGTACACAAAACAGGAAGAGGCCTGTGAGGTATGTATGTATTTAATAGCCTAAAGATCAATCAAAGCTCCCGAGGCAACACACAGGAGGACAAAGGCCTTCTTCCAGCCCTCACCTGGAAGCAGCTCTGCAGCCATGTCCCATGTCGTTCATCTGTCTTGTTGCAACAATGACTTTAGCTGGTTGGAAAACATGAAGATTAAATGAGCTACTCAGTGTAAAGCCAGGACTTGGTGAAACCTACAGTTAGCCAATTTAGAAAAAAATGTGTAATGACAGGGCCATAGGAAGGGGCTATGTTGGGGGGGGCCCTCTGGGGGCTGCAGACACACACCCGAGGGCTTTTTGGGGATGCTGTTGATTAAGTCACTCGTGTGTGGTACCTACAATGTGTGCTCTCCTCAGATGTCCCTCCTTCAAACTGATGGAGAAAGAGCTGATACAAGTTGGAAATACCTCTTCTTGTTCTTAGCATCTAGTTTACAAAGGAGAACCTGACGGTGAGATTCAGGAGTGGGTGAGGACCACCGAGGAATCCTTGTGTACTGCCAGTCATTTTTTCCCTTTCTTTTTGTTTTGTTTTGTTTGTTTTTGAGGCAGGGTTTTTCTGTGTAACAGCCCTGGCTGCCCTGGAACTCACACTATAGACCAGGCTGGCCTTGAACCCACAGAGACCTGCCTGCCTCTGCCTCCTGAGTGCTGAGATTAAAGGTGTGCACCACCACTGCCTGGCTCTTTGTTTGTTTGTTTGGTTGGTTGGTTAAAAAAAAAAAATGATGGGTTCTGCAAGCATTTCCTCAACCCAAAGATAGCCAAGTAAAGGAGATGAGAGGAGGTGAAAGTGGAAACTTGGATTTCAGTTGTATTTGAAATGCTAAGTATGTGCGCTCCTTGAGCAACAGCATCCTTGGAAGATGTCCCTGAGTGTCAAGAGTTAACATACAAGACGGGTTTCTGTGGGCATGACAGGGCTTCAGGATAAACTTCAGAGAATCTGCACCTCCGTCTGGGCTGCTAAGAGGCATCCCTTGGCATCATCCTGGCAGATCACCTCACCACCAGCAGAGGCTGAAGGACTAGAAGCTAAGAGATCAAATCTTAACAGACAGGACATGGTTGGAGCAGTGATGCTGACCGTGAACTGCCAGCTGAGATGAAGTGTTGAGTGGTCTTCTGTCAGGTGAATGACGCCAACGGCTTTCTCCAGGCTACCCTGGGTCTAAGAGCATGTGATGGGCTAACAAGGCAGAGCTACAGATGCCTCATGGCTGGAGAAGGAACTGGATGCCCAGATGGCTGGAAAAGGAAGCGGTGTCTGAGGCTAAGGAGGAGCTTTGGGTAGAAAGAAAGGCAACAGAGATAAGAGGTCATGAGAGACCCCACTGTGGTGCTTCCCATCCCCCCTCAGCACCATGGAGTCCCCTGGGGGCCCGAGGTCATGTGGTGCGCAAGGCTCCAAAAAGCTCTGATGGAGTGTCTGCTGCGTGGGCTGGGCCTCACTCAGGAGCACTTAAGGGATGGTCGGGGACCTGAGCCACTTGTCGGGAGCACCAGGACTCGGTCATCCTCAAGGCTTGCTTCTAGCAACAATCCCTGATTCAGTGACCCATCCGGACGTGATCAGTCATCAGCTATTTCCTTCGCTGCTGTCCTTTTAATTGGTGTTGAATTCCTGCCATTTTCTGCCAAAAGAAGTCTAGTTAAACACAAAAGCCGTTCTGCCGAAATCTCCAGCACCAGTTCAGCCCCGGTGATCTTCCAGCACTGTTGGAAGTTCCTGCACTGATTCTACTACCTCATTAAAGTCCTCCTGCTCGGCAGAAGTGACCAGCCACAGAGCACACACCTGAGGGGAGCAAGCCCCTGTCTCTTCCATAAAAAGACAAAAAGCAATTACTTGTGCTAGATTATACTATCTAGAGATTTCATTTCTCTATAGTGAAGAGAAAGGAGACTTTTGCATTAGAAGCAGCTGAGACAAGTGAGGTGGCACATGTCCACGGGTCCAGTTTCTCAGGAGGATGGCAGAGGAGGGCTGCCCGAGCCCGGGAGTCTTATCCAGGATGAAGAAAGCAGTGTGACCCTCTGCCAGAGTGTATTAACTACTGAGGAAAAGATTGGCAATAAGCCAGACAGAAATCGTTACTGTGTGGTGCAAAGGTCTACCTCCTTGGGCTGAGAACAGAACCCACCTCCTGATGCCTGCACCTGGGTGGAGGAGAACAGGTACCAGGATGCAGTTGTTACTACACCAACCACAAGCAGAAGAGAGATTCTGGATTCAGTAGGGACAGCTCTCCAGACTGACTGGCGCGTCAGATCCCATGATGGCGAGCGAGCTGAGTCAGGTTGGGCCATTTCTAGTCACTGCAGAGGCAGGAAGCTGTGAGCAAGATTTCCTGTGGGGCTCTTCTCTCCTCTTTCACATCTTAAGCAAGCAGAGGAAACTCCATTTTAAGGCTTGGTTACCCAGGCAGATGGAGAACAGGCCCTGACAGGCCTCTACTGCTGTGGCTAAAACAAGCATTGAGATGTTGGAAACATGCAAAGCTTTTGCTGAAACCAAGTGGTTGGCAGGCTGGGCCACCAGATTTCTTCCCCTGTCAGTGAAAGGGAGGGACTTTTCTGTGGTTCCACAGTATCGGTGATGGGAAAGCCCAGAGAAAACAGATCTCTCAAGCTCATGTAGATCTCATAGCCTGCCACAGACTCCAGGGCCTATTTAACCCTTCTGTCTTGTTTAAAACAAAAAAGACCCGCCTAGGACCTTTACATACAGAAGACTTGCTGGTAGCTGAAGGGTCAGAAATAGCTCCAGTCCCTGGGGTCGCAGCATCATGAACACATGGCCTGAGGCTCAGAGGAGCTTGAAAGAGCTCGAGAGACCTCTGCTCTCCACCCACGAAGAGCTCGTGGCCATCCACTCAAGTCTTCGGATGTACACTCTATGCCTTGAGGTGCCAAGGGCTGGAGGTGGGCATGGCTGGGACGGCAGTAGACTGCCCTTCCTCCAGCAGAGAGAGGAGCCTTGGCAATTTCTCATCTAACTGTGACAATCCTTTCCTTACGCTTCTCTGTGTACAAACAGGCTCGTACTGCTTTTAGATGAGAGGAACGCTATTATGATTAATTATCTACGATTAATTATTATGACTTAATATTATCTATTAGAGATTGGTTTTGAACGCATATACGTGAAAGATAAAACTGTGGAAAGGGCCAGTGAGATGCCTCAGTGGGTCAGAAAGGCTCTTGCTGCTCAAGCCTGGTGGTCAGTTCAGACCCATGTGAAGGTGGACGGAGAGAACAGACTCCGCAAAGCTGTCCTCTGGACACACGCACACACACACACACACACACACACACACACACACACACACACACACACACACACCATGCAAATAAGTGAATTTTAAATACTTACATAGTTCATTTTGTGTATTATTGTATATGGGTGTATGTGTGTGGGTACACAGGCGAACATCAGAGGACACAACTTCGGGGAGTTGGTTCTCTCCTCCACTATGTGGGTCCCAGAAAATGAACTCGGGTTGCCAGGTGTGGCCGCAGGTACTTTCACTTCCTGAGTCATCTCCCTGGCCCTAAAAAATGGAAATACCAGGAGTGACAGTGTTCATTTTCAACCTGAGGAACTCTAGCGCCGTTTGAGGTGCTGGGCTTGCCTCCGTGGGATTATCTTGGTTGCTTTGACTGAGATGTGAAGACCTACCCCCCTGTGGGTGGCATGGTGCCGTGACCAGATCCTGAACTGTGTAAAATGGAGGTAGAAGCCGAGCGTTCACAAGCTTACACTGATCTGTTCCCTGATGGTGGATGTGATGTGTCCGCCTGCCACAGGGGCTGCTGCCGCCTGTGCTCTCCCACCACGGTCCACTGTACTTTGACTGGGAGCTAAAACAAGCCCTTTAAGTTTTCTTTGATGAGTTCTTCGGCTCTTGCTCGGCTTCCTTATCCCTCCTTAGGGCATCAGTAGATGATTAGGTGCTCTCTGACCCACTGTTAATTTTGTTCTCACCACAAACCACCATTTGTGGCTTTGTGTTTCTATTTTCCATACAATAGTTCTTTATTTAATCCTGTTCTCATTGTATTTCACCTTATTCTTTTCTTGTAATTTTCTTCTCCTTCATAAAGGCCACATCTTCTTCTATTCTGATAAAGGTGTAATTTTTTTTTCTAGAATTCTTTTCTGATTTCTAAAATATGTCATTTTTAGAAATATTCTGTTCCAATGGGCTTCTAGATGACATTTGTCTCCTTTCCTCTGCAGGATTCCAGAATTTTTCATGTCAGAGAAGAAAATGTGTTCTGACCTCATGGTTGCCAGAGGACACAGTGTGTGTGGCTTTCTCGTGATTCTCCCACTCGGGTATTGGTGGATCCCTTCCTGGAATATAGACTGAGCACCGGACTTAATGCAGGCAGGACCAGTGTCTACAAAGCATTTACTCCTTTACTGGGCTATGAAGGTTTGAGGAAGATATTTGACTCGCTAAATCAGGGGTTCTCAGCCTTCCTAAGGCTGCAACTCTTTAATACAGCTCCTCATGTTGTGGTAACCCCCAAGCATAAAATTGTTTTTATTGCTATTTCATAACTGTTATTTTGATGCTGTTATGAATTGCAGTGTAAATATCTGTGTTTTCCAAAGGTCTTAGGTGACCCCTGTAAGATCTAAACACACAGAGCCAAGCAACAGAGGAGGGATTCCCAGGTTTTTGGTTGACCCAGATCTTGATCCTCTAAGTCAGAGGTCAAGATCTAGAAAGCAAATATCTAGCTTCTTTCATTGGTGTTGCAAGCCCGCCCTGCTGGAGATGAGGATGCCCCCAAGCTCTCCCTGCTGGAGATGAGGATGCCCCCAAGCCCTCCCTGCTGGAGATGAGGGTGCCCCCAAACCCTCCCTGCTGGAGATGAGG